TGTGTGTGTGTGTGTGTGTGTTGACGAGTGCGTGCGGGTGTATTTACCATGTCGCAGCAGATTTTTCTTTGTGGAGACCAATAAAATCATTTCTTATCTATCTCATCTTAAGAAAACTTCACCCGTGAGAATCGTCTTTTATGTTTTCCAAGCGAAGAGCCGAACCATTACACAAATAGACCAGTGCTGTGATTCATATAACCATATTCTTGTGCTTTAAAACTTCCTTTTTTCGGGGGTGGGTGGGTTTAGAGGCGTTGTAGCGCTGAGCTGACAAAAATTAAAAGTCACAATCTTTTTTACTGACTTGCAGTAATGTCAGAAGCAGAGGGTGGTTGATGGGGCGCTCCACACTGGCCTCCCTCTTTATTTCCTTTTGTGTTCTATCACGTTTATTTTCCCCCGAGCGTTCTGGATAAAGGTAGATGTTACCATCATACGGACTTGTCGCATAATACAACTCAGCAACAACGATAACAGCTACAATAACAACTACACTATTCACAACAATAATTATATAAAGCAACTCAAGTGATTTAAATCAGACTGTTCAGTTCTATTGTTTGCAAAATTTCGAAAGTGCATAGCCTGCTGTTTACTTGTTAGTGTTTTGTTTGTTTGTTTGTTTCTGAGTGTGTATGTGCAACTCAGTAGTATGTGTGCAGGTGTGTTCGATTGACCCCTTGGTGCAGGCTGTGTTTAAAAAGCAAACAAAATGGCCATGAGACATTTTTGACTGAGGGATACCCGATTGGAAGAAATAGTAAACAGATGGATAGACAGATGAGAGGATAGATGAAATGGTGAGTCGGTCAGATGACAGAAGAACGGATTCAAATATTAGGTCATAAAGTATATCTAGTGATGAAGGGACATGTGAAGGGGCCGAAGAAAGGATTCTGTTACTGTAGGAAGAATTTGTGGATAGACGGATTGACGAATCGTTGGATGATATAAACGGATGGTTGGAAGAATGGTCGGATGGGTGGAAGGATGCCCAAAATCTAGACAGACAGACAGACAGACAGACAGACAGACAGACAGACAGACAGGCAGGCAGGCAGGCAGGCAGGCAGGCAGG